TGTGATAAACCAGGTGTGCAGGGAATGGAGTCATGTGGATGGGAGGAACCAAGCTGATTGGTATTGTGGCCTTGTGGTGGGGCCAAGGGAGCTTGGTTCATTTGGTTCATCTTCTTCAATGCTATTGCCAGTTGGTGGCTGATCATTGAAAGGGTAACACCTTGGTTGGCTAGTGGGGAAGGAGTCATAATGGGAGGCCCTGACTGGTAGGCTACAGGGGGGTCCACAGGTGTCCTTCCATGTGATGGAACTGGATGTGGAGGTCCTGCAGTGGTGGACCTGTTGGTGTTGCCAGTGCTATTGCTAGATGCTGTTGGTGTAACACCAATGGCAGACTGGGCCTGTTGTTGTTGCTTCTTCTTGCGAGCCATGATGATGGTTGTTGTTGCGCTGGCTGTAACAGTGTGGGAGTGTAGGGGTGTTGCTGTAGAAAATCCAAAAGTGGTCCTGAAGGCGTGCACTGTTGGTCAATGACTAAACAGAGGCTGCTTGACACACTGATACCCTTGGAATGTACTCGGAACAGTATACGGAGCCAAGGAGTTCACGGAATCGATCGAAATGTGAGGCGACTCGGATCTTCGGCTCGGCCTGCTTTCGGAACGGAGGTACGGTACCGATCTTGTGAGTACCGTGTGAGTACCGGTCCCCTTTTTCCCTCCGCAGGCACGACTGAGATATTCGGCTCCGTAAAGAAAAGTCGACAATGATGTACCTGTTGCCTTCTGCTTGCGGCCGCCGTAACCAAGCCGATTAACAAGAAACTGGCTGGATGATCCTCTCAAGCACCCTTAGGTTGGTAGGTGGAACGCTTGGTTTCACTCCTACCGCTTCGATATTGGTCGAGTTAAGCCAATCGGCAGATTCCGATCGCGATATTCCTTGTTGGTCAATCGGTTGATGGTTCCCACTCGACGGCCGGTGTCCTGGGCCTATTAATCGAAGCACCGGATGGTCTATCTTGTAGAGCAACCTCTACTTGATAGGTGACTGTCTTGGTTCCACTCGAATCGGTCGCGATTCCAGTTTTCGGTCGTCGATCTGGTGTCAGCCGTGTCGGTAGGTCAATCGGCACTTCCTCTCTTCTTCGTCCTCGATTTCCACACTCCTGTAGAGCCACTCTTGTGTGCTTGCGACAAGTTAATCCTATGAATTCCAAAGGAACTCAGCTGGTAGGTGCACAAGAGCTGGGATGGAGAGCTCTGTTGGTGGAGATCTCCTTCCACTGGCGCTGGAAAGGCCAGCCCAAGGCTGGCAGCCAATGCTATTCAATCACTGTTGCGACGGGATACAGCTTCCAATTCAGCTTTACAGCTTTACAATTAGCAGGCTTATTCTAGAAAATAATCAATAACTGCTCACTTATTTGGAAATACAAACTTTACATCTCTTAGATCGTTAGATTAATCAATGCACAATGGTATTGTCGCATGGTAGCATGCGAGGTTATGAGATGTTACTCATTCTATTTCTTATATGTCTATCCCCTATGGTTGTCAATGGAATGTGCTACTCCTTGATCCAGATTGCTCCTGATGAGTTTCCTCTTGCATTCTTCATCGATAGTCCTTCCCTTTATTGCAACTCACTTCCCTTGGATTCGCTCGAAAGCAATCCCCTTGTTCTTACTCCTATTGACGATCGTAATCTCAACAAGGACGTTCATCCTGTCGTCGATCGAAATCGCGATGAGGATCCTATATTATACCATGGACTCCTATGGGAGTCCACCTTTCTTAATCCTATTGACGATCGTAATCTCAATGAGGATCCTATTATCTCTGTCACAGTAGCCACTGCTACTGCTACTGCTATCTCTATTACCACAAACATATCGATCGGCAGAGTTAACAGCAGTCGAGGATCGATCGCTCGAGTTAACAGAATTCATCGAAAAATGAGGCTTGACTGCATATATAAGGCTCGGCTTGTGTGTCATGCCTTGAATCATGCTTCGAGGGTCTTTATTATCGATTCGAATTGGCTGAGTCATGCTTGCCTTATATCTTCGAAGAAAACTCCTCACTTTTTCATTAACTCAAACAACAACAACAACACGGAGACCCACACGGAACGAAGATCCATCGCGATCGCTCGTGTTGTTCAATCGGCAGTTGGTCTCTGCTTACCCAGGACCGGCATTGGTCGTTTGGTTTGGCTTGCAGCGAACTGTCTTGCAGTTTGTCGTTTGAACGAGCAATCAATCGCTCCGTACGAGAGGTCAAGATCGCGATCGATTGTCTTTGAAACGAGCGATTCAAGCAACTCGAAGTGTTACGACGAAGATTCAAACGACGAGAACTCGCTTGCAGTTGTCGACACGAAAGACTGTTGGAAAGCTCATAAATTCCATCTTCGATTGACTCGAAACACTGTTGCCAAGTGTGTTTCTGCCAAGCACAATGAAAGCCCCATTGAGGTAGCTGAAGAGAGCGGAGGTCTCATCAGAAATGAGATCTACTGCTGCCAGTTGACCTGCATGGAATCGAAATCATCCCAACATTGGACTGGCGTGAATAAACTCATCAGTGGCTGAACAGGGACATCAGCAGGGGACATAGGTAATCCCATGCGGAAGAAGCAAGGTTGCACCAGCAGTGATTGGGGCTGATGCTGGAGCAGCGGGTGTGGAGGAGTGTTGCCACAGAAGAGGGTGCCTTGAAGGAAACTTGCGGAACCCACGATGTTCACTGGTAAAATGAGCACTGGTGCCTTTGGAAAACCTTCCACAGTTGCGACAGTATTTAGCAACCACCTTCCCATCAACAAAAATGGTGTGTTGGGATCATCGGGAATGTTCTCCTTGGAGGCATGGAAGCAAGCTTGTCTTTGATAAAAGTTGTGAGTTTGGAGTTGGTTTCAGCATCAGACGTTGTCCTTGGGAGCACCCGCTTGGAACATGCTGGATCGTTTCTATGATGATCAGTAGTCCACAATAAAGCAGGCGCTCCACGAGGACGGGTACCGCACTGGTGATCCACTGTTTCGATCCTGGTGAACTCCCAACTTTTGCCTCAACTGCTTTGTCATTGCTGCCTGGAGGCTTTGGCCTGGGATCCCTTGGATCCAAGATGTTGGGCAGGCCATAAGTTTTCTGGTTAATGAGGACCCGATAGAGGCATCCAAGTCATTCAAATGTCGAGTGCTTCCAATTGTTGTTCCCATAGTTGCTATCAAATCCGTTGATGTCACTCTTGACACAGCTCATGGACTTTGGATCGAAAGTATGGACAACCACAGCCAAGGAGACCTCTCAGGGATGTGCTGGTTAGTTCAGGCATGGTCACTGGACATAAAGTTAATCGAATCTCTTTGATGATCTTGCTTGCATCGACAACATACATGGAAACATTCTCCCAGGGAACTTGGTGATGTCCAAGTGAAGTAGCTTGGCTTTGAGGGTTCAATCTTACTGAGAGAAGGTCTGATATTTCTGGAAGAGCAAGAGAAGAATTGGGGCCCATTGTTTTTGGCTCGAGGAACATATGATTTCAATTCTTCCTGAAGTGCATCAGTGCAAGAGTTCAAGACAGCCTTTCCCGACCAGGCAAGGTTGGTTAGATCATACTGGCAAACAGTGTTTCTGCAGATCCCCATTGGAATCGATGAGTCTGACCCATTGACTGTGAGGTCCTGATGCCATTTTTCCATCATAACTCTGAACCTGTCCAGGAGCAGTGAACATGTTGATTTTATTAATAGTGTTAGTATTAAGGTCTCAAACAACAAGCTGGAAACCCCTTCCATTCCATGCTCTGTCATCATACTTTCAAAGGCGATAAGAGGCTAGCACATGAGACCCAGAAGCATTGGACTCAGTCAGAGTGGAAAATATTAGACTGGTGGAATCCTTGTCCTTTCTTGCATGCCATTCGATAGGCTGGAGTGTGGTGTGATGTTTCAGATGGCTCACCATGGAAACCCCTGAGGCATAGGTGCTTTGAGGTTCCTTTCCAGTCCATCTGAGCCAGATCCTGTCCGGCTCCAGTGTGGTTGATACTCCAAGCCGAGGGGCTTCTGTAAGCTTGGTCTTTCTTTGGTTTTCCCAATTGCTGGAGGAGCTCCTGGAATGTAACTGCGGTCAATGGTGCTGCAGTCATGGTTGGAGGATAGATGTGGGATGATTGGATCAGATTCAAAGAAGGCTTGTCTGAAGCCTTGTGGACTGAACAAGGATGCTGGTGCTGGCGTGTTGTTGAAGATGAAGATCTGAGGCAGAGGAAGCGTCGTAAGGTCCATCAATAATAGATGATGGAATTGAGGCAGTGAAAATCAACAAGGTCAACAGTGCGGAATGGCAACAAGAGCAATAGGCAACAAGAGGAGGCCGGTGATATCCGTACCGGTATTTTTGCTGGGAAATGGGAAAAAAAGACCTTGGTGCGCCGCAGTAAGGCCAATGAAGCACTGCTCTGGAATATAAGGAGCCAAATGGCCAGCATGGTGTTCACTGCATACTCTATCTATCTTCGTAGCCTGCTTCCTCCTCTCATGCTCCTTTGACCACGGTTGACCACAGCTGGCCATCACCGACCACGGCTGACCACGAGTGACCGTACCGACCATGATGAGAATGGGACAACGACCACCTTAACAACACGATTGCGCCTTGGAAAAGGATGCTCTAGTATTCATTGAATCATCTTGGCTTTTGGCTTGACCAGTTACGAAGCTAGCTAGCTAGATAGCTAAGGAGCAGTACATGTACACCATTGTCACTAAAATTGTTTGCTTGTTGTGAGGTTGACCAGCTTTTGACCCTACCACACGGCCTGTAATATTAGCCCTTTCAGCGAGTGACCACCAAAATAGCCATTTCCCATCTCCCTGTCTGTCCTGCCATCCAGGATCCCTACGGTGCCAACCGAAGGCTATTTCTTTAGAGCGACTACGATTATACTCACGTCACGCCATCTCCGGTACCGGTAGAGTCAGCTCTCTCTTATATTATTGTCTTTTTATATTCTCTCTTATTTTTATGCTTACCAGTTGCCGGCTAGCTACGGTACTGTAGTGACTGTGTCACTCAAGCTACAGAGTAGACTACCGGTAGCAGAAAGGATATCATGCAGGGTTGCCCCCGAATAGAGCCATGACAAACCACCATGGAGAAAGCAAAGGAACCACCACAGCTGAAGCATGGCAATTTTAAAGGAGTTTACCAAAAGGAGTGTTGCGATTGATGAAGCTGACGTTCTGATCAGCAATTTGGAGGCTGAAGGGTATCTTAGAAAGCTCAGCATCAGTTGTGAGAGCTTGGGCATAGCATGCATGTGGATGCCACTGCTCATCTGGATCGCTTCGCCAAGGGCCATGCGGCTAGATCCTCATTCCTGCCATTCCAAGAGAGACACAATTCTCCACAGCTCTCGAAGAGTTCGTCACTACCGGTAGCTACCGGTACTAGCTAGTAGCTGCTAGTGCAAAATTGCTGGTTGCTGCTTTCGTAAATATAAGAGAGAACTGACTGTAGGAGAATTTGTGACGTCTCGTTGTTTTTAGGAGACGAATTCCATTCCCCTTGCCGGAACCCCAAAGGTCCGGCACTTCGTTCTTCGAGAAGGGCTCGGCAGCATTTATTTGTTGATATCTTGAAGAAGGCTCCAGGCTCCAGCTGCTACATGTAGACTACTTGGAGCTTGTGGTCTGCTCTTGAGTACGAAGGACGGCGCACTTTGGATAGACGGATAGACCACCCGTAGATTCACTCAACGAATAATTATTGGTCAACAACTTTGAGGTTGATATCTGGCCAGGACATAGAGAGACTTGAGAGATACTGTTACAGTGTTACAGTGCATGCACTCAAATCTTGCTGGCCCTTTAACTAAATGGCTGTATTACACTACTCCGGGGTACACCAACGTGTCCATTGCTTGGAAGGTTATCGCCCCAGCCACCTGCCATAGCTCTTCCATGAACCCTTGAACGCAGGAGCGCACTCTTCCATTACATACATACATAGATGGTACCTGGTACCGGTACATGTTCTTCAGAGTTGCATGCTGCATCATGTCAAAACGAAGGGGCGTTGCTACAGTACGTTGCTACTATTGCTCAAAAGCTGTAGCCCACAAGTCCCGTTTATTGTTGATTGACTATGGACTCATTCTTTCCTTCGAACAGACAAGCTGACGTCATCTGGAGCAAAGAAATCGTTCTGTTTTCCACGATGTGACTTCAGCGAGGGGGGCCCATCCACGTTGTGGAAACCCACTTCGCCTCCGACAACAAGCTGCCGACGCTAGGAATGCAGGCAGTTCAGTTCTGGCATTAAACAGAAACGGTAGCTTGAGAGTGATCCTTGCGCTGCTTTTTAAATTAGAAAAATAGTTCTATCATTCGGGAAGGAAGGGATATCGGTACGATATTATGAAGGCAGCAGAGGGTATTGCTCCATGCAAAACCCGCCCCTACTGATTCCCAGCCGGGGCCGAACCAAGCAGCCGGACCCGCAGTATGCAAACTCATGGTTGTCATATTTCTGATAAGTGATCTGCCAGCGGTCGCAGCTACATGATACGGCTAGAAAAGCAATTGACTCAAACAAAGGATTTCCACTTCTTCCATCTAGCTACCAGTACCGTACGGTAGAACCTGGGCAGCACACTCACAGCTTCCCCAAATTCTGTCTCCAAGTCGATTTCGTGGGCCGTCTGCGACGGGATACAGCTTACAATTCAGCTTTACAGCTTTACAATTAGCAGGCTTATTCTAGCAAATAATCAATAACTGCTCACTTATTTGGAAATACAAACTTTACATCTCTTAGATCCTTAGACTAGTCAATGCACAATGGTATTGTCGCATGGTAGCATGCGAGGTTATGAGATGTTACTCATTCTTATTCTTATATGTCTATCTGTTATCAATGGTACTCGACTGGATTCGCTCGTAAGCAATCCTCTCATCATTGCACTCGACTGGATTCGCTCGTAAGCAATCGCCATGTCGATCCCTTTCTTTATCCTGTTGACGATCATAATCTCAATGAGGACACTCCACCTCCTGCTGTTGACGTCGTAATCTCAACAGGACGTTCATCCTGTCGTCGATCGAAATCGCGATGAGGATCCTATATTATACCATGGACTCCTATGGGAGTCCACCTTTCTTAATCCTATTGACGATCGTAATCTCAATGAGGATCCTATTATCTCTGTCACAGGAGCCACTGCTACTGCTACTGCTATCTCTATCACCGGCCACGAACTCTTCAGCACGGATCGAGGATCGATCGGCCGAGTTAACAGCAGTCGAGATCGATCGGCCGAGTTAACAGCAAAATTCATCGAAAAATGAGCTCCGAATGCATACATAAGGCTCGGCTTGTGTGTCATGCCTTGAATCATGCTTCGAGGGTCTTTATTATCGATTCGAATTGGCTGAGTCTGCTTGCCTTATATCTTCGAGAAAACTCCTCACTTTTTCATTAACTCAAACACCAAAAACACGAGCGATCGCGATGGATCTTCGTTCCGTGTGGGTCTCCGGTTGTTGTTGTTGATCAATCGGCAGTTGGTCTCTGCTTACCCAGGACCGGCATTGGTCGTTTGGTTTGGCTTGCAGCGAACTGGCTTGCAGTTTGTCGTTTGAACGACCACGGTACGGATCGTACGGAGCAATCAATCGCTCCGTACGAGAGGTCAAGATCGCGATCGATTGTCATTCAAACGAGCGATTCAAGCAACTCGAAGTGTTGGAAGCTCTAAATTCCATCTTCGATTGACTCGATTGACTGGGTATC